AAGCCTTCTCCTAGAGCTTACGTTCTTAATTCAGATCTTTAGCCTCCTCAACTGTGAGAAAATAAACTTGTGTTCATTAAAGCCACCCACTTATGGTAAGCACTGGATACCAAAACAGACATGCAGTAGGTGCTCCTGAAATGTATATTGAATGAATGAATGAATGAATGAAACTTCTGGAACACCCATCTTATATTTTCTGCTCTCCTTACTCTGTAGTCTGTCCTGGGGGAAATGGGGGTTCCAGTCATGCACTTGATTCCTGATGCTCCCCTGTGTCTATGCTCTGTGGGTGGGGTGACCAGCCCCCTTGACTTTGAGTTCAGCTGTGTAACTTGCACTGCCAGTGCAATGTTTGCAGGTGTGGCTATGGAGGCTGGTTTTCTGGGCCATAGCTTGGAGCAATGGGATGAAGGATAGGTAAAGCAGAGCCAGCCTCCCATTGCTCCACAGTCAACACCGGACAGGTGAGTGAGCCAGTCACCTGTCAGACACTAGAGCAATGCACATGTACTATGGCTAGTTGTAGCAGGGAAGACCGGTACACCTGTCCGTCTCCATCCTGCCAGCAAGCTCATACAGCATCCCATTGGGTGAACAAGAAAGCCTGCTCAGACAGGGTGGGAGACTTGCCTGAGGTCACAGAGTCACAAATAGCAGAGCCCCTGATTCCAGCTCACTTTTGTAGCTTGCAGCCCTGCTTCCCCACCATGCTGGTGGTGATGTGTGTCATGGAGTCGATTCCTATTCCTAGTGACCCCATGTGACAGTGCAACTGTCCCATAGGGTTTCCCTGGCTGTTTTCTTTACAGGAGATCACCAGGCCTTTTCTCTGTGGCACATTGGAACTGCTGACCTTTTTTTTCAGCTACCCCTTATCCAGACCAAAGGCAACCTCTTCCAGGAGTCCTGTAGGCTCTTCCTAGCTAGAAGTTCCCATGCTGCCCTAGATCTTCCAAGCCCCATGCTGGGTCACCTCTCTGCACATTGTGTGCCCAGCCTGTGAACTCCCCAAGGTCAAGGGCTTGGTGAGACTCCCCTCCCTGTCTATAGGAGGCTGGTCTCAGAGCCCTGAACAGTCGGTGTTTAATGCATGTGTCTTGTCTTCCTCTATGTGTCTTCTGTTACCACTCCTCCTCCTTCAAGCGCAGGCACAGCGACCAATGGATGTGTCCCCAGGACCTGCCTGGTATTCAGTATACAGCAGGCTTTCAATAAATGCTAGCTAGAGTGTACTCCTGGTATGGCACTGTAGGATCAGCACTGGACTGGAAACCACAAGGTCAGCAGCTCAAACCCACCAGAAACCTATACGGGGTCACGATGGGTCGGAACCAACTCAATGGCACTTAATAAAAGAGCTTCCTCTTATAAGAAGTGCTGGTGTTACAGTAGGTAAAGCCTTGACTTTCTAATGGAAAAGTTGCTAGTTCAAAACCATCAGCTGCTCTGCAGGAGAAAGATGAGGCAGTCTGCTTCTGAAAAGACTTGCAGTCTTAGAAACCCTATGGGGGCAATTTTACTCTGTCCTACAGGGGCACTATGAATTGGGGTCAACTCCCTGGCAGTGTATTTAAGAGCTGCCTCCAAAGTATGTGAGATGAAGTCTAACCAGCCTCGCTTCTAAGGAGTGTTCTGGCTGTACGTCTTCCAAAACAGATTGGTTTGGTTTCTGGCACGTTCTTCTGACAAATACAGTTGTTGCTCATACTTCAGACAAGGTATCATCAGGAGGGACCAGTCCCTGGAGAAGGACATCATGCTTAGTAAAGTGAAGGGTCAGTGAAAAAGAGGAAGATTCCCCAATGGCATGAATTGGCACAGTGGCAGCAGCAATGGGCTCGAGTGTAACAATCTTGAGGATGGCACGTGACTGGGCAGTATTTCATTCCATTGTTCACAGGGTCGCGATGAGCTGGGACTGACTCAGCAACACCTAATGACAGAGATACCTGTTCTGGGTTGTCTGAGCTTCTGGACTGCTGGGAACCCTGTCTCTTTCTCCTTCCCCCTCTCCAAGTCTTGGCTTTCTCTGACGTCCTGCAAGTGGCAGGCAGCTCTCTCCCTGGTCTTTCCCGGCTATGACATTGCAGTCATATACCTGGCTTGTCTTGCCATCTGCCCTGGCTGACAAAGTGACCAGGAGGACACTTCTCTCCTGTCCCCCTTACTCCTGTCAATTCCCTATAAATAGACTGTGTGCTCAGCCCAGGGAAGAGGAGAAGCAGGCTGAGGAGCCTGGTCACTGCCTGTCCTCTGACCAGGACAAACTGCCATCCCTAGCTGCTGTGTGGCCACTCTGGGCCCTTCCCCTCTCCCCCCGGACACCTGACTCCTCCCTGGCCCCATGTTCTCCAAGCCTTGGCTTGTCTTCTGCCTCACCTTTTGTGAACAGTCTTGTCATGAGGGTGACGCACTGGGGGCGGGAGGGAGGTCCACCAGGCCCAGGGCCTGGTTCTCATGGGGAAATAGTCCATATCAGAGGGGCTAAAATGAGGGAGTGTGCTTTGTGAGCAGCTTCAGATCTGTAGGACCCCAGTGACAACCCTTGAGTGCAGACATCCTAAAGGGGACAGACCAACCCTGCATGGAGCTCTTGGAGGACCCAAGAGTCAGAGCTGGACTTTTGGTAAACCACTGCTTTCCTCTTTGTCTAGGTAAGGGGCCTAAAATAGAAAACAACTACTGAGAGAAGCAGGGTGGGTAAGCACATGGGGTGTGTAAGCACATGGGGTGTATAAGCACATGGGGTGTATAAGCACATGGGGTGTGTAAGCACATGGGGTGT